AAAAAAAAAAACCCGAAAAAGAAAAAAAAAAGAATTAAAAAAAAAAAAAAAAAAAAAAAAACACCCGGAAAAGGACGAAAAGAGGAAAAAGGAATTCGTAACTCGTACTTTTTTTTCGGTCGTCCAATCTGACGAAACTGTTTCGACTCGGACACTTTGGGTGCTTCGGTGCGCACGATATGCAGAGTACGCGTAGAACGTACATGTACAGCCCTGTGTATCGGTTTGTCGCGAATGTTGACCTGACCGAAAAGCGTTCGTAGTGCCTTTCTTCTGGCCGCGATCTATCGTTAAACGAATGAAAACGTGCGGCGACATATGTAAGCGTCGATCGGTAAACCAATTCGAATCTCGCGATCGAACGGTTCTCCACTTTCGAGTTTGTTGGAATTTCTCTGCAGCGTACGATTGGCACGAGGCTTGGCATGTGTATTACGTGTTTGTGTGTAGTTTGCGCGTATTCGTTTGTAACAACGGAAAAATAAGATATAAATGCGTTAAATATCTATATATATCTATATATATATATATATATATATGTATAAAAAAGAAGTTATAAAATGTATCGGCAAACGGGTTAACAGAACAACATTCACGAACGTGGCAATCGTGCGAAACAAACGCGTAAACCGAACAGGAAAAACGAAGAACGTGTATAAATATTTCTTGCGATCAAAGAAGTAAATGGTAAACGGTCGCGTCGAACGAAAGAACGCGAGACGAATCAACGGAGATAAAGAAGAACCAGAAAAACCAAGGATTGGTGTAAAAAAAGAAAAATCGCAAGAAAACACTCGCCAACGTTACTTATACTCTAACGGCGCGTTGTCGTTCAGCGACGCGTACTCCCACGCAAAACGATTCCGCTTGATAAAATTGCTCGATAATAAAAGAATAAAAGAGAAAAAAAAAAAAAATTGTGGAAAACGCGAACAACTATATGTATACGAGTCTATTTTCTTTGTACGCTTCGCAGCGTCGTGTCTTTGTATTTTCTTCGTTCTTGCTTTCTTTCCTCCATCTCTCCGCTTTGCGGTGCCTTTATTTCCCGCCAAATTAGAAAAGATACACGATAGTTAACCCATGAGGTAGCGAATGAATGAAAAACAAGCTCTTCCTTCTCGTTAACATCGTTGTTCCCTTCCTCTCTTCTTAGCTTCTCGCTCTCATTCTCTCTCTCTCTTTCTCTCTCTCCTAACGTGCCTTTTCTCTCCGTCTCTAGTGCGACTTCCTTCGATCGGTCCAACTGCCGGAAACAGCTATTTTGGGTTTTAGTATTACTCATCTCGTCTCGATTAGCGACGACCGATCTCGCGTGCTTTCTTTCGATTTCACGCGATCCTCGATCGTCGCACGAGTTCGCTGGAGAGAGCATCGATATGAACGACGGCACACCCCCGACAACTATACGATATTTTATCCTTCGCTCGTGCTTTGCGGTCGTCCTTGTTTAAAGTGTCGCGTGAATGTTTCAACGATTAGGAGAATGTTGTACGTTTCGTCGAGCCGCTGTCTCGTCTCGTTTGGCAGTGACGACACCACTAACTGGTGTAACTTCGTTACGTATATTATTGGCGATCGGCGTTGTTCAACGAGACAGATCAAAGAGATCCAGTCATTGGGGAATCGATCTCTTCGAGGAATCTTGGTCCTTCGATATGAGAAACACGATCGATGATGCGTCTCGACTGATCGATCGCGTCGTATCGTTCGTTGGAACGCTGTCTCGTTCTTCTATCTTATTTCCTGTTTATCGCGTTTCTGGCAAAATAACTTTCTCTTATGTACAGCATTCATCGGGCAGTGTGTGTGCATGATGTTTCGTCAGGTCTCGGACGAGCATCGTTCGAACCAAGCTCTAATTACATATGTATATATTAATATATTTGTATATAATATCCGATCGGTTCTCGGTATAACGATGATCGATGTTAGAAAGTTGGCGTGCGCCTACCTGCGCACGGATAATTAATCGTTGAAGTTTCTGCATCGAAGTACGAGACGAGAGCGACGACGGTGGAACGGTAGTGACAGGGTCACGCGTTACCCGTATAACATGCGGCACCATGTGTAAACACTTTCGCTTATATTTAAAATGAAAGAAAAACAAAAGCGCGGCATCGTGATGGCGCTCGTCTCAAAGAAGGAAAGAAAAAAAATAGAAAAGAAAAGAAAAATACTTCATTCGCTCTTTTCACCCATACGCGACGAAACGGCTATTTTTCACGGGTTGCATAATTCCTCTTCTATCCGTTACACATCGACTAAATCTGTTTCGTTAATAAGTTTAAGCTTTACATATAATATATATCTATGTACAACAAGTGTATAGTGTATAATGTGTGTTTACTATATATGCATACAAGGTCTTCTTGGGGAAATTCGGGGGAGTGTAAATGCAGTGTAGAGAATAAGTTACATACCCGCGCGGTTTTCTTCATAATGCCCATTATTGGCAACAATAGGATTAATAATAGATAATATATTAAGACTTCTTTGAAAAAAAAAAGACGCGTCTTCGCTCTTAAACTTGTCTCTCACTCTATTCAGCATCCTAGCTCTGCTTAAAGATTATGTTTCTGCGTGTTTCATCATCCGATCAAGCAGCTCTCTCACGCTCTCTCACACGTTCGCTCTAGTTTCCCTTTCGCTCCGCTTCTTTCTCACCAAATTTTTTCATCCCTCTTTACGCGCCCAATTCGCGCGTGCCACACGCCTTAAACAAAAGAAACCTTATCCGATATATTATCTCTTACCGATATCACTTGAACCTGTTACATTAACAACAATGCCCAAATTGTATACAATAAGGCCCTCGTTTACCGCCGCGTATTCGGTTCGCAACCGTTTCTCGACCCGGAATTATACGATTCAGCAGCCCTGATTCCATCTCGCGTTCTCGGCGTTTCCCGGCCAAAGCGTTCGTGCCGCGTCTCGTTCGAAGGGCAA